TACCAATAAAAGGCTTTTTCTAAATTCTTTTCTGTTCCTCCTTCGCTATAATAGCTATGGGCTAAGTAAAACATTGCATCAGTATCTCCATTTTCTGCTGCTTTTTGATTCCAATAAAAGGCTTTTTCTAAATTCTTTTCTGTTCTTTCTCCATTTTTATACCATACAGCTAAAGTACATATTGCACATATATTACCATTTTCTGCTGCTTTTTGATTCCAATAAAATGCATTTTCTAAATTCTTTTCTGTTTCTTTTCCGCGATAAAATAATTTTGCAAGATCATGCATTGCATGATGATCTAAGTTCTCTTCTGTTACTTTTCCATTATAATATAATTTTGCAAGGTCAGCCTTCTTTACATAATGTGGTTTAACAAATTCATCAATTTTGTTCCTCAACATATTTATTAAGATAAAAAATTTAAAATTATTCCAAATTAAAAAAAAATTGCAAAATTTAGTAGTGAATCTTAAATAGATTACGAATGTTATAAATTTTAAGCTCAATAATATATATATATTATTGTGAAAAAATCGATCTTTTACAAGAAATTTGAATGATGAGGTACGTGGGTTAAAGTCAAAATTTTGATAGTGTTAATGTATGGAGGAACATCTTATTTATATACAGTATATTTGGCTTACGTAAATTCTGATGGAATTCTTTAACCGAGCGCATAACCGAAATAAATGTTTGAAAATAAATTTTATATCCAAATTTTACAATTTTCACAAATATAGTGTGGCACATTTTGTTTGCCAATTATAATAACTTTCGTGTTGAATAAATAACTTCATTAAATGATTGAATGATTGACTATAGGAACTATTGTAAAAATTTCAAAATAAGGTAAATCATAGTTTTTATGATAGACCATTTGCATTATGGCAATCAAAAAGTGTGCCACATTTTTTATTCGCCAAATGGACATTTCGCCAAAAATGGTAGCGATTAACATTTTAATAAAAAGCAATGAAAATAAAAATCAAATTATTTTAAAGATTTTTTTTTTTCAGGATATTCCTATAAAAATGAAATGTGTTAAATTTGTGTTCATGTGTAAAAAACGTCCAAAAAAGCATCAATTTGTCCAATTTATGTCTTACAAAAAAACAAAAATTAAACAAAATGGTGCTTTTTTAGACATTTATTACACATGAGCACAAATATTAAACAAATTTAACTCATTTCGTTTTTATAGGGATATTAAGGATATTATCACTTTAACAATCAAGTAACTGATACCAATTAAGAAATAGTAAATAAATAACTTTATTTTCTGAAAACATTTATTCACGTAAAAGCGAAACAACGAGATTTAATAAAAATCAGCTAATTCAAAAATTTTTCTAGAAAACATTTTTTTACGTATTTAATATAAAAACAATAAAATAACCAAATGGAATAAAAAATTTTTCGCAAAATGTCCATTTGGCGAAATGGGTTTAGCCGTTTCGGTGAAATGGACTTCTCCGGATACTGCGGCGGGGCACCCCTTTTTTGTGTGCCTGGCACAGCAAATTTTTTAAAAAAAACATCAAACATCATCAAGGATTTTTTCTTCACATAAAGTTTTTAAACTTATATTGTAGGTGTAATTTCGCCTGCTCTGCAAGTTTACTTAGGATTAGGATAAAGATTACGAATGACGATTTTGACTTTACATATAAATGATTGATTCTACCGTCTTTGTTGATCATTTCCAAAATGGATTTTGTGAAAGAAAAATTTTTGTTACATTAGCCAATAATGATATTTAAAATCGCCTTTGCCGTTCTAAGTAAACCTGAAGAGCAGCCAAAATTACATCTAACTAGTAATTTTTGAAGTTATATATTATTAAAAAAAAAATTATTTTTGTTGCGCCACAATCTGCTGGCTAAGCCACGAACCTGGCACACGAAAAAATGCTGCGGCAGCCGCATCTGACGTTTCTTTATGTTCTTATCTCATTCTATCTCATTAAGTATATTTGCGTAAACTTCAATTAATTTGATAGATTTTTCGTCTGAAACTTTTTATAATAAATGGCTTTTCCAAATTAAAAGGAATAGATAAAGCAACACCAAGTACGATTCAGAAAAAGTCAATTAAAAGAAATCTTGGTTTAAAAAAATTAATATAATACCTAAAGTTTACTCTTATTAAACAAGCAAATAAATAATTTTTTTATTCATTTAGAATAATAATACTTATCTTTTTATAATCATGAACACCATGCGTAATTAGATGATGTACAATATTATTATTAATTAATACAATCTACAGCACATTGCTTAATAAAAATAAAAATAAAAAATTATTACATTATACACGTATTATGTATTATCACAAATGTATAATGTCATGATTGCATTGCATCATTCTTATTATGTAAAACAAATGAGATCAATGTAATATTCTTTCAACAACTATTAAATGGCATTACGATTTAATTAATCAAAGCTACTGTATTCTATAAATAGTTGTCATTATAATTGGTATCATATGTAAAAAGTGTAAAATGAAACTAAAAAAATAAAAGAAAAGACAATAAGATTATTAAAAGA